AAATGCGATGGTATAAATAATGGCATAAAGAATCGTACAAAGGCAACTTAACAAAAGTCACAATGAAAGCACGTTTTGGAGAAAACATACCAAGTTGCCATAATGCAAGTAGAGTAATAATGAGACCTATTTACACCATGAAGCGTAAAAACCATATGAAAAAACTCACAGTGAAATTTGCCACTGTTGAGGGTCCTGCACTTTCATCAGCACCGGGAGACCCATGAGTTGGTGGTCTCTTCTTATGTTTATCTCGCTCAGATTGCACAGCTATAATATATTTTGCAGAAGAAATGATGTTAAAATCGTTTTCCCAAACTATAGACTTTTCAAATGACTATCTTAGAAATTGTCAGACCTCTTGAATCCATTCCAACTTCAAAACATTTTCGTAGTCTACAAGCACGACATCTATTGCGGTACTCTTGTACGATTTGACATTTGCTCCCAAAGCGGCAAGTATAATCTCGCTGCTCCCAGATACTAAATTTGACCGGAATTAGCTACATGACCTAAGGCTGATTAAGCTTGAATTTGAATGGAATAGTGTGACTGCACATCATGCACCAGTCAGGAACTAACTAGCAAACTCTTTGACTTTCTTAACAATTCCACTGTCGCTGTGCAACTGAATTAAGGTTTCTCATGATATGAGCTTGATAAGCTTCCTACTAATAACGAGTATGCTCAAAGTGGGAAGAGAAACCCATAAGAACTTACCATTAGACTTACACTAAAAAAACTTTCAATAAATTGGATTGTTTACACAGAAAAACTAATTTAAAGCCTAGCGTAAAATAATGTTGTAAAAAAAGGCAATATGGTACCTTCTTCGAAAGAATCCTTTACACCCATTACATGCAATCGTTCCATAGTGGCGACCTGCTCGAGAGTCCCCACATACTCGACATTTCATCCCTAATAACTCACATAATCTGAATTATAGGGGACATTATATCTTTCATTAAGCAAAATCTCACCCGCTTGTGATAACAACGAAGGTGTGGCAATATCCACATTTGCAAGTCCGCCTTCAGATTTTGGATGTAGAAATTCGAGCGGTTGTGAGACAACAGGAGGTTGAGTTGGTGTCACAGCTGTAGCTGTCATGTTGAACGAGGCTAAAAGATGTATCACTATTGCCTGATTTCTATTGAGAGATAGTGAAAGAGGTGTTCTAAAGGATAAGATTTCGAGATGCACGTTCATATAACATCTTCTGGTAGTTTTTCGTTTTAAGATCGAAAAGTACCCACACTGGAGCACTTCGTGCAAAAAGTTAGAATTTTAAGCACAGTAAAGAGATGTTTGCGAGCAATTCTTAACCGCGATGTTTCGGTAGCACTGCATCAGCTGTTACCCTAACAGGGAGATAATGCTAGCGATGAGCATGCTCCGATCTCCGTGGACAGCTCACGCATGAGAAATTGCCCAGAAACGATCCTGTATTAGACGATAGCTCTAGTAGGAACTATAGAAACAAAGTTTGAAAGCAGTTTTGTTCAGAACTGCTCTGATAGTCTTAAGAAACTTCTGAACTCAAAGCAGAAACTATACAAATATAGGACTGATGAACATGGTTCAGAAAGGGATGAATAACACACGCATTTATGAAAAGATGGGCATCATATGCCGCAAACTTCTTCCGCGGGGGAAAACAACGATTGTACACTAATTTACGCTTGTTTTTGTTCAAGATTAGCTATAAGAAAATGACTTTTGTGTTGTCTGCTAATATCATGTTACTTTTCCCTTCGTTATGCTTTTAAATGATTGTTTCAAATGTCTTTAGAAATCGCTAAGCGGATTATGCAAAGCGTTGTTTCAAGTGTAGTACTAAATTTCGAACTCAATGTTGTGCCATATGATTTCGGCAGGTACTTTAAGAAATAGATAAGTAAATGTCTACAGTATGCCTACGTGATACAAATGGCGAATTAAAATAGCGATTGTGATATTCAGTAGCGCGTCAAATAATCCAAAAAATAACGGGATGACAGCCACTCTAGAAGTTGACGATAGAATCGTTTTCGTCCAAAGTGACAGACAAATAAGAAAAGATGTTGTGGTTGAGTAACACAGTAATGCACAAAGCTAGCCTTTAATGGAAAAGATTTTATAAATAGGAGCGAATATTCGTGTTCGAATAAACTGGAAAGCACTCCCGAATAGTTGTCAAACGAATATTCGGTAATCGAATATTCGACAGTCAAATATTCAAGAAAACGCATGTATTGGCCTATTCGAGTGTTCACATTCAGTTTCCAACTTTGAGAGTCATCGTCGCAATGTTCTTCATAGACCAGCTAAATTTTCTAACCAAAATCCTCTACAGAACTCTCATGAATATTTCAACGCCAATTTTTTCTTAAAATAAATGTCTATCCTTGCAGGTGGCATAAGGTTCCCTTATCTTTATGCTGCTTGGATCATTGGAATCTGAAGAATGTCGAGGTAAGAGCGCTGATACAAGTTAACCAAATTAAAACTATTTTGATTACGTTGTCACGTTGCTTGAACTGAGAAGATAAGAAAC